GCGACAATGGATTTAAAACACTGATCTTGTAAGTGCAGATAAGCCTGCAGTGGAAGACTGTAATTCCAACATTTGGAAGAGAAGATTTAAAAGTGCATCGACATTTTGTTAATAAACGAATAAACATCATCGGGAAGATTTATCAGACAAGGAGCTTTGTAGGCTAGAGAACCGACCCATGTCTCTCTCTTACCTTGTTTACTTGCTCAAACAGCGGAGAATCATAATGAACAGACCAAGAGTACCCGTTAGTTCCTCGTTCAAGGCTCACGAACCCATTGATTGAAGACCGATTTTGCGACTGTTACATGCATAGTTATTTTTTTGGCGGTCGGGAAATTTGTAAGATAAAACAATGGACCGTCGCTCGTGTTATCCAATGGTTGAGATTTATCAATTAATTAGTAGACCATTTTCTCTCAATTTGTCATCAAATGATTGACAATTGGTGCTATAATTGTACAGTACAAAGCCCACCTGTGGATAGGTCGCTTTCAATAGAGAGAGATTGAAACGCAACAAATTATCCATAAGATACCAAATGTTAAATACGTGACCTCTGTGTACTTTGAAATAACGCCAAAACAACCGAAAGCATTCGACCCATTGGAAAGAGATTGACATGACGATGCACAGCTTTTGTTTTTGTGCGCTTGTCCTGTCGTCGTCGCTATTAGTGATGTTTCCGAGTCCAATGGTTCAAAAAATATGAAAGTTTTCGTCTTGCTTCGTTATAATATGCGACTTTTATTTTTCTTTGTGGAGAACGATTTATTTCATTGGTTCTTCGCGATTCATAAGAAAAGTGACCGATATGCTTTTGACAATGTACACACTAAATATATGATTTGCTCACTTTGGGTTTCTTACTCAATAGAATATTCTTGCATTTGCCTGAGTAGAAACAGCGTCTACTATAACCCTATATACAAATATAATCATATAACAGTCATACAATGAATGTCTATGAAATTAAGGTATGTGAACAAAATAAGGAATGGTGCATTGCACGGGCAAATAACTAGTACATGAGGATTTATAAAGAGAAAAACTAGGATTGAGAAAAAGATGATACAGTTAATGTTAATATAAACCTTTCTGAAGGAGCTCATGCATTAAGTTATGGTAAAATCGCTTTGAATCGTTCTGTATATTAATTATAACTCATTGTGTTTTTTAATAAACTGATCTTCCTAGACTTTCAATATCTTAAACTATAGCTCTTATTATATAGAAGTCAATTGTCAAAGGACGAGAAAAGCATTGCTCAGATAGGAAGGAACAAATCGTCAAAGCTAACTGTTTGCACAAAAAAATGACCAACTTTTAGTTATTATTGACATGTGATAGACTTAATCGAAGAAAGTAGAGGTTGATCATTTATGTATAAAATTATCAACATCTTGAAGAATCGACAACTTGAAGGAATTGATAAAAAGTGTTGTCGACAATCTCGGATGCAATCGTCAAAGAAGTAATCATCAACGTAGTGGAATAAAGCAACTGTCAAGATAGTGGAGCTGAAAAAATCGTCAAGATAGTGGAGTCAATGTAATCGTTTGGTAACCTCTATTTGTAACTTCCGTTGGTAATCGTTGATAGTAGGCTTTAAATAGGCCCACGCCCCCCCACCCCCCCCCCCCCCCCCGAGCATGGCACAAATAAATAAACATGTTATTTTTCAATTATCTTTCAATTCTTGCACTATAATTATAGTTTTCATATTCGCGTCATCGATTAAATTCCGGCGTGTATCTTTATTGTAGTTCCTGGATGCTTCATTAGCGATTGAATTCCGGCGTTGTACTTTTATGTTCTCAAGTTTTGTTGTCGATTAAATTTTGGCACAATTTGTGTACATTCGATTCTGTTTGAAGTGATTGCGTTCTCAATTCTGACACAATTTGCGTATGTTTAGTTTCTTTTAAAGTAAAGTTATCGATTCCCTTGTCTACTTGTGATATTTCCTATCCGGAATCACCACAAAACATGTCTCCTCTAATAAAAATCAAAAAATGACTTTCAATGAAAGGTATTTCATTGTGAAGTCAAATTCCAACGAAACATCTTTTTGGCACGCCCGATGAGACCAATGTGGTCGATCTGAGAAAGAACAATGTCGAAAACAAGGAATCATCTCGAGTCAGATCATGCTGCAGGTAACAACCCCGGTGATACGACTACCCAATCCGAGACCTCAACCGCTCCAGCAACAGAGCCAAGCCAAGGGGGCAATGTCGAAATCCCAGGGCACTTTACGGAAGAGCAGGCGAGGGAGTTAGCACCAAACCTTACTTTGGCAGCTACCATGAAGAAGCTATTGGAGGAACAACAGAATAGGATGATGAATCACATAGCAAGACATATTTATGATGTGATCAGATGGATGGTCGTCAATGCGATCGATCAACGATGTCATCTTCGAGCTCGGGACATTCAATCAGTCCATACCAATTCAACCAAATACAACAGCTTTTGGGTATGTTCCTCCACCTCTTAATCAATTGAACGGGGGAAATAATTTAGGCCAAGTGATCCCACCACCGGTGAAGAGTTTACAAAGGGCCTAAAAATCCTATCTACCTTGAACCTAGGGCGTAGGAAGGTCAAGTTTATCATCCTATCTACCCTAAGCCTAGGGGACAAGAAGGGTGTCAACTTGTGAAACCAGATCAAGTGGTTGAACTCGTATTACAACAATTAGGTGCCAACAAAGGAATGGTCAGGCCAGTATATATGAAACCACATCCTAATTGGGTTAACACTATACCTTACCCATGAAAATTCAAAACTAGTGACTTTGTTGTTTTCACTAGTGAAGAGACGAGGATCGATCGACAAACTCGCTGACCTAGGGTTAGGAAAAAATAGAAAAGCATAAAATCATAAAAAAACTAGAAAATTTTAAAAAAAAACAAAAAAATTGTCCATGTCAAAGCCGGTCGTGTCATGTAAGATGGCTGGCGTTGACTAGATCGCCGCGTCAGCGATTTCCGGTCAAAATTGGCTAGAATGACTAAATTGGCAAACTGTCAAAAGGTTTAGGACTAAATTGGCAAATCGTAAAAAATTTTAGGACTACATTGGCCAAATTGAAAGGTTTTGGACTGAATTAGCACAAGTGCAATAGCTTTAAGACTTTTTTGATAATTTTTTCAGAGAATAATGCACAGTTTATCATGTCATATTGAGATTTGTCAATTAGCGGACCCTTTTTCTCAATGTGTAATCTAACAGTTCAACAATACTGAACAATACCTACTTGTGAATAGGTCACTTGCAACAAAGAGAGAGATTGAAATGCAACGTAACATTCACGAGAGCTAAACAACTGAAAATATTCTACTCATTTGAAAGAGATTGACATGATAATGCACAGCCTTGGTTTTTTGGGCACTTGCTCCTGTCGTCGTCGCTATTAGTAATGTTTTCGAGTCCACTGGTTCAAAAAATATGATACTTTCTGTCACGCTTCTTCGTCATATGCGTCTTTTCTTTCTTTCTTTTGTGGAGAGCGATTTCTTTTGGCTGGTGGGCTTTTTGTTAATCATAAAATTCTTTGTGATGCAGAAGAAAAGTGACCCATACTTTTGATAAAGTATACACTAAATATATAATTTTCACGGTTTCTAAATAAATAGCATAATCTTGCATATGCCTCTGTAGAACGAATTTAACGCGGTTTAGACGATAGGTCCTACTCCATGGGGAGAGCAGTAAAGGATTCCAATCAAGCGATGTAACAAAGATTATAATCGCACTCGAATCAATCAGACGTTCTTGATGTTTTACAGCCACTGATTACATCAAATAACTCATATAGTGTTTAGTCTCGCATACTTTTTCGCAAAACAAATTCTCAATCTCACAAAGAAATCCGCAAATCCTTACCTCAACACTCACGGCACACATCAAGATTGGCTTAGATTTGTGCTCTCTTCCTCAACCAAGAAGACATATGAAACGAACCCTAGGGAATATGTATATTCATCCCACCGCCGAAAGAAGTTCAAAGTAGGATTGCGCAAGAAGACCTCACCAAGTGGGAATGGGAAACAAAGTCCAATCGGTACTTTCCTTCTTCTCTTTTAGTTCTTTTTGGTTTTTGCCACTTTCACGTGGTCCAGCTCCGCACATTTCTGTCGGGTTGGGCTTCGTGCAACACGTTCAAACTCGTGATATATTCTACCAAAATATTAAAACGGTATTTTACACATTAATTTCCTAAACTAAACTAATCAAGTCACCCTTGACAGATGAGAAATTTATACATAGATGTCGGAGTGGTATTCACGGAGAGGGCCTAACGTAAACGATTGAGATTGATCCCGACCGCGATGGATCGAGTCTTGCCAATACTGTGATGAGCGTTCAAACTGAGAAAATATTAGGTGGTCCTGGCGCTCCACGTAGGCGTACCACACAAGGTGGTCCCTCTCTCATTAGCCCTGCACGCTAGGCTAGCCCTGCGCCCCCCTCTCTAGATTGATCCCGACCGCGACGGATCGAGTCTTGCCAATACTGTGATGAGCGTTCAAACTGAGAAAATATTGGGTGGTCCCGGCGCTCCACATAGGCGTACCACACAAGGTGGTCCCTCTCTTGTTAGCCCTGCACGCTAGGCTAGCCCTGCACCCCCCTCTCTAGAGTATTATTTTTTGTGGCATAAATTTTGCCGGGCCCATAGTGCCACGTGGCGCTTCAAGAATGGTCGGGGACCAAGCCTACGTGGAGCGCCGGGACCACCTAATATTTTCTCGTTCAAACTACGCCGAGTACTGTCTGAGTCAAACTAGGCCTCTCCTCGACTTGACCGCAACCAGCAAAGCCATGACGCCATTTCTTCTTGCCGCCCAAGCATCTCTCTGCTTTCTCTTCTTTTTTATACTCCATGCATTTAGAGAACGACAAAATGTCTCACGAAAAAGGATTAATACAATCAAACAACGCAAATTAAAGAACGACAAAAGTGCCGCGAGAAGACGTATTTAACCAGGAGTCTTCCCCACCTCACAAACCCAACACAAGCCATAAGCAACACAAGAAGCCTCGAGCTTCATCACCGTCTTTTCCAGCCACAACAATTTCAAAGCACTCACTTGGAGCCCCAGACATAATCAGCTACATGGCGATGACCTATGCCGAGCTCGTGTTCATCCCATCCCCTGGCATGGGCCATCTCATATCGATGGTCGAGATGGCCAAGCTCCTCGTCGACCGCGACCCCTGCCTCTCTGCCACCGTCCTCGTCATGAAGCTTCCAATCGACTCCGAAGTTGACTTGTACACAAAGTCACTTGCCACCTCCGTGGCCGCCACCCGTATCCGCTTCGTCCACCTCCCGCGTGTAAACACAGACACCAAGATCTCCTCAGGCAATTTCCTCACCCACTTTATGGAAAGCAACAAGCCCCACGTCAAGCAGGCTGTCGCCAACCTCGCTGACTCGACTGGCTCGACCCGGCGGTTTGCGGGGTTCGTTAACGACATGTTCTGCACCACCATGATCGACCTGGCAGACGAGTTTGGAGTCCCATCCTACGTCTTCTTCACGTCGAGCACCGCGTTCCTTGGGCTAATGCTGCACCTCCAGTCGCTCCAAGACGAGCAACACGTGGACATAACCAAATTCAAGGACTCGGTTGCCGAGCTGGACTTCCCGAGTTTCAGGAACCCGTTGCCAGCCAAGGTCTTACCGTCCGTGGTTCTGGCGAAGGAGGCGGTCCAACCATTTCTGGAGCACGCCAAGAGGATAAGAGCGATAAAGGGAATTATCATTAATACGTTCGACGAGCTGGAACCCCATGCACTGGGGTCCTTGGCGGACCTCGGGGCGCCCATGGTGTACCCTGTGGGGCCCATACTGAATTTGAAGGGAGAGACTAAAAAGAAGGCCGATGGTGGCTGCCGAGGCGGTGATATCATAGAGTGGCTCGACAAGCAACCGCCTTCATCGGTGGTTTTCTTGTGCTTCGGGAGTGGGGGGAGCTTCAGCGTGGACCAGGTGAAGGAGATGGCTTGCGCGCTGGAGCGAAGTGGGCACCATTTCCTATGGTCCTTACGACGGCCGCCACCGAAGGGCAAGTTTGACTTACCACATGACTACATGGACCCCGCGGAGGTCTTGCCGGAAGGGTTCCTGGACCGGACGGCTGGCGTCGGGAAAGTGATTGGGTGGGCCCCACAGGCTGCGGTCCTGGCCCACTCGGCGATCGGGGGGTTTGTGTCACACTGCGGATGGAACTCCACCCTGGAGAGCATTTGGTTCGGCGTGGCGGTGGCCACGTGGCCCCTATATGCAGAGCAACAGTTCAATGCGTTCGAGCTGGTGGTGGAGCTGGGCCTCGCAGTGGAGATCAAGATGGACTACAGGAGGGATTTCAGGATGGAGAGCGACTTTGTGGTGACGGCAGAGGAAATAGAGGGCGGAATAAGGAAGTTAATGGAGGACGTCGGCAGCGAGAGGCGGAAGGAGGTGAAAGAGGTGAGTGAGAAGAGTCGGAGGGCACTGGTTGAGGGTGGCTCTTCTTACTTATCTTTGGGTCGTTTGATTGAGGACATCTGGAATAATGTGCCTTGATCAACCCTAGCATTTCCGGTGTATGCATGTTGAATAAAAAAATGTTGCTTTCATTGTACTACATCAATTTGCACTCATAAAAGTCAGGTTATCTTGAAAATTTAGAATACATCGTTAGCGTAAAAAAATATTTTTTCACCAAGCGACCTTATCCACTCTTGAACCGATGGTTAGTAAGAGATTTGCTAGTTAAAATCCTCACCAATCAAGATTAGACTGTTTGTATAAATTTTTATTTGCACTAGCACTATATGCTATCATGTTTCATTTTAAAATACGCATTCAATTTGAATGGTTGAGAATATCAATTGCATGTCTTAAGCAAGCCTCATTTTAATTCTAGAGCGGTATACAAATTTTCATTTTAGCATAGGCTTGATTCATGAGCAGTTGGATGATTAAAATCGATCAGTGCATGAATGGTGCAAATATTCTTGTGCAAAATATTTGCCTACCATGAACACGGTGGACTGTCGAATTTGTAAAGTGTTTAAGCTTAAGCTATTAGATAAATGCGTTGTTTAACATTTAATTATTCTAACACTTCCTCTTACATTTAGTTCTGTTTTTTTTGCTTAGTACTAAGCGTGGAAATAAGTAATTAGATATACAAATAGGAGCTTAGAAAGACTCGAACTCAAGACCTGTGAGAATTTATTGGATCACTGTCAACTGTTCTAAAAATTTAAATTATTAAATGAAAGATTGATTTAATAGTTAATTATTTTAACATAGTTAAATCTCTTGATAATGTTTTGTTAATCGAATTTGTCGACTAAAACGGTCCGTTGTCCTTGTCTGGTTGCATTGGTGTGTGTATGCAAGTATTCCTTTTGTCCTTTTCTTCTCGCACTTTGTGCATTGCTTTTGAATATCTCTGTCTCTCTTGGTGACAAGTCTTCCTCGTGTATGGTGCACATCACCTTAATGTATCCGAATAACCTAACATTCCTTGATCCTCCGCCTAAATTGGTTGGTCGGTCCGACACTTCAAACATGATTTTCTATCCAATATATAATTCAACATACACTAACTTGAAAATTTTGATAATTTTAATCGAATTTAAATATATCCACAATCGAATGAGTTTAAATTGTTTTGTGAAATGTGAACAGGCTAAACCATTTCTTTCTTTTTTCTTTTTTTTCCTTTTCTCTTATTTTCCTTTTTCTTTTCTTTTCTTTTTATTTTTTTCCCTCCGCCGACCATTGCTAGGCATTGTCGATGGTCGGCAGAGGTCGTTGGCCTCAGGCAAGGGTCACCCTTGCAAGATCTAGCGAGGGCTGCCCTCGCCAGCCCGACGACCTTCGTCGACCATCAACGAGGCCCAACAATGGCTGGCGTGAGGAAAAAAGGGAAAAATAAAAAAAAGAAGAGAAAAAAAGAAAAAAGAAAAAAAAAGTAAAGAAGGATTGAAGGAAAAAAGGAAATGAAAATAAAAGAAAAACATTAATAAAATATTCAAAAATTATTAAGAATTGTCCACGTCAGCGTTGGCTACACCACGTATGATGTCGACGCGCACGTCGGCAAAGCCAAAATTGGCTAGATGGACTTAATTGGTACAAATGCAAAAGCTTCAAGACTCAATTGGTAAAAAAAAGATTTGGGATTGAATTGACATAATTATAATAGATTTATAATTTTTTTGGTAATTTTCCCGGATTGATTCTCCTTTGAAAATACCACGCAAACTTACACTACGAACTACCGTGAGTGACCAAGGAGCTAACCCTATTTCGTCGAGTGTTCTTAGTAAAACTAAAGTAACCGTGGATGCAATGCTAAGGATTTAAAACTGCTTTGCCCAACGCTTATTTCGACTTCGACTATGTCATCGAGTGTTCTTAGTAAACTATATGACCGGGATGTTGACATAGTTTGAGCCTCTGACGAAGCTTGGTATCCCAAGGAGATGTCTTGATTTGTTGTGTGTGTGATTTGCAAAGAAGTCGCATCAAATTTCCGGGAATTGAATGGCTTAGGTATCAAGGATAAACATGAAAGCTAGTCAGTTTCCTGTTATCGTTCAGGTAATGCTAAAGATACTAAAACTCATATGTTTAGGTTGACATATTCATAAGCCGAGACCACCCGTGATCCGAACAACCGTGTTTGGAATGCACCAGTCCGCTGAGAGGCCGCGATTCACCCGACACTCGGCAAGTCTTCTCATAAAATCCGTCCCGCTCTTGAGAATGGAACTCGTATCAAGAATAGGAAAGCAGCCTTCGTCTCCGCAACTTTTTCTCTGCTCCCTTCACAATAAGTAAAAGACTCACGCACATGACGTGCATAAAAACCCCTCATCCTACGTCAAACGAGTTAACTCAATTAGGGTTAAAAAATCGAGCACATCATCGCCATCATGAGAACTGAATTCGAGCTCATGTTCATCCCGTCGCCGGCCATCGGGCATTTCCTGTCAATGTCGTAGACAGCCAATCTCCTTGTCGGTCATGACGATCAGGTCTCTGTCACCGTCCTCATCATGCAGTTCACGTTCGGCTCTGAGATTGACTCTCGGATAGAGTCGATGGCGCCGCGTCCGTCGCTGCCCGCATGCGCTTCATCCACCTTCCTCAGTAGAACACTGCCCAGGAAACGTCCCGCAATGCCGAAAAATTCACAACTAGCATAAGGCGCACATGCATGGAATCACACATGTCTCACCAAATAGAATATAGATAAAAATCAAACAAAGCAAATAAAAGAATGACTCTTCCCAACCAAGAATCTTCCCCACTTCACAACACGAAGTTAACAGCCAACATAAAAGGCCTCGAGCCTCATCATCGTCTTTCCAAACCACAGAACTCCAAAACTGTTAGGAATATGCTTCAGGATTGAAATATGTCCACGTACAGCATATGTTTTTTCAGTTTGTTAAATGGTTGTCCTAGTCTTTAGGAAGCGGTTAAGCTATTTTTATTAGTGCTGTTGATCGTGGTTTATTTGTAGGGCCATGTTGTTAGTGGTTGGTTATTTTTCCTTCCTTTAAATTGTAATGTTTGCTGAAGTTATAAAAGTAGTCTTTCCTCTCTCAACTGAAAAACCAACAATTGGTATCAGAGCTCTCTTCTTAAGGGACCTGTGTGAGTTTGACAAGCCATGGACGCCGAAGCTGGTCTCTCTTCAATTGCTCCACCAGTGTTCGATGGAGATAACTACCAGATATGGGCAGTACGCATGGAGACATACCTGGATGCTTTGGATCTTTGGGAAGCAGTGGAAGAAGATTATAAAATCCCTGCACTTCTTGCCAATCCAACCATGGCTCAGATCAAAGCTCATAAGGAGAAGAAGACAAAGAAGTCAAAGGCCAAAGCTTGCTTGTTTGCTGCAGTTTCAGCCACCATTTTTTCTCGAATTATGTCTCTCAAGACGGCAAAGGAGATATGCGATTTTCTCAAGTCTGAGTATGAAGGAGATGAGAAAATTCGTGGAATGCAGGTGTTGAATCTAATCCGTGATTTTGAGATGCAGAAAATGAAGGAAACTGAGACCATAAAAGAGTATGCTGACAGACTTCTCGGGATAGCCAATCGAGTTCGGTTACTGGGTTCTTCATTGACAGACTCAAGAATTGTTGAAAAAATTCTTGTGACGCTGCCTGAAAGGTTTGAGGCTACAATAACCACCTTCGAAAACACGAAGGACTTGTCCGCGATCACACTGGCAAAACTCTTAAGTGCCCTGCAAGCACAAGAGCAAAGGCGTGTAATGAGGCAAGAGGGAGTTGTTGAAGGAGCCTTATTAGCCAAGCATCAAAATGATGGCAAATTTAGATGGCAGAAAAGCAAGAAGACTCAAGCAACAGGCGAAGGTTCAACATCGGGCAGCAAAAACAAGGCCGGAGATAAGAAAGCTGGAGTGAAAGGGAACTATCCTCCCTGTCAACATTGCGGGAAAAAAGGTCATCCACCTTTCAAATGTTGGAGAAGACCTGATGCAAAATGCAGAAAATGCAATCAAACTGGACATGAAGCCATCATATGCAAAAACAAAAATCCACAGCAAGGAGAAGAGGCTAAACTTGTTGATCAAGAGGAGGAGGATCAACTTTTTGTAGCCACGTGTTTTGCAGGCAGTGAAGCAAGTGAGAGCTGGCTGATTGACAGTGGCTGCACCAATCATATGACCAATGATAAGGAGCTTTTCAGAGATTTGAGGCCTACCACTATCACCAAAGTGAGAATTGGGAATGGCGACTATATTTCAGTTAAAGGCAAGGGAACAGTTGCAATAACTTGTTGTTCAGGTACAAAGTTCATTCCTGATGTTCTTTTTGTTCCTGAAATTCAACAAAACTTGTTGAGTGTTGGTTAGTTAATTGGAAGAGGGTTTAAAGTTGCTTTCGAAGACAATTTTTGCCTAATTAGAGATGCAGCCAACCAAGAAATCTTTAAAGTAAGAATGAAAGGCAAAAGTTTTGCTCTAAATCCATTGGAGGAGGAGCAGGCAGCCTTCTCAATTAAAGAGAATGTCACTGAGATTTGGCACAAGAGACTCGGGCATTACCACCACCATGGGATGCTGCAAATGAAATCCAATACAATGGTAGAAGGTCTTCCGGAATTTGAAAATCAGATTTCAAGCTGCAAGGCATGTCAATTCAGCAAGCTCAATAGAAAACCATTCTCAAAGTCAACTGGCAGAGCTTCAAGGAAGCTACAACTGATCCACACAAATGTCTCAGGCCCTCAAAGAACACCTTCTCTAAAGGGTAGTCTCTATTATATTGCCTTTATTGATGATTTCACCGGAATGTGTTCGATTTTTTTTTTTGAAGTTCAAATCAGAAGTGGCTCAAGTTTTTTGGAAGTTCAAGGCAAGAGTAGAGAATGAGAGTGGCTACAAAATTCAGATTGTTAGATCTGACAATGGGAAGGAGTACACTTCGGTACAATTCAACAAGTTTTGTGAAGATGCAGGCATTGAGCATCAGCTTACAGCCCCTTACACTCCTCAGCAAAATGGAGTTAGTGAGAGGAGAAATAGGTACATCATGGAAATGTCAAGATGCATGCTGCATGAGAAGAATTTGCCAAAGAAGTTTTGGGCAGAGGCAGCAAGTACGGCTGTGTTTCTTCAAAACAGACTTCCCACAAAGGCAATGAAAGATCAGACACC